CTTTACCAAGGCACTTCCGCCTTGTGATCATCAGCGCTGCTGTACGATGCTAGGTCTTGTGCCTACTTGGCCTCACTTGCTCACTTCTTGACCTTGCTTGTACTGTGATCTATCTATACCTGCACTTGTCTGTTTACTTTATATATGATCCTGCATGTGAACTGGCCTTTTGGCCTTTGAACTTGTGCTCGAAATGTGTGGTGACGTTGGGATCCACCCTGAGCTTGCTTTGCTTTGCTTGACTGGTCTTGTGACCCCTTGTTCTCTCCCACTTTGCCTATGGGGGTGTGTCAGACTTATATGACTTAGCCTGTGTAGGCTGTAGTTGGGTAGCACATATGGGGTACAATATTTCTAGGGTTTGTACTTGTACCCAACCCTTGCACTAGTCAATTATTCCTCGTTTCTTGACACTGACCTCACCGGAGTAGTCAAGCGAGTCAGCCCCTTGTGCGTTCAGGAATGAAGGGGGGTGTTACGATATGAAATCAAATTTGAAGGCATTCCTGTACACTGCAGGAGCCGACTCTACCGAGTACGAAGTCGAGGAGTCAGAAGAGTCGAAGCGACGCAGTAACCGTCTGATCAAGACCGATGCAGGCAGAATCGAACTGAAAAGAGCGGGAACAGGTTTGAAACAGTTTCCCGCGCCGCACGGTTTGAACTCGCTGCAATAAGGGAATGTACCCCTTAGAGTACATGGCTAGTCTAGGTCCTTTCGTATTCCTCTGTATTCTTATATAAACCCGATGTATGCATGCCATTATTAATCTCACTCATTTACATTCACTTTGACCTGAGTTCACTACTTCTGCTGCAACAATTACTCTGCGATCAATCCTGAGCGATCCTTCGCTAAGTCCCACTTTGGATTATAACAACTATATTGCAATTCGTACCATAACGCACATGCTACCATAACGCACATAATACCATAACGCACCTGCTTCCATAACGCACCGGTTACCAAAAGGTACCGGTTACCATAATACACGTGTTACCATAACGCATTTCCTATCATAACGCAAATGATCCATAACGCAAATGATCCATAACGCACCTGTTTTCACAACGCACCTGTTTTCACAACGCACCTATTACCATAACGCACCTCCTACCATAACGCACGAGTTACCATAATGCACATGTTACCATAACCTTTATGGATCTCGTTAGGAAGGCCTTTGCTAGTATAAATTTCGCTTCTTTCACGCCATAAGTTATGATGGTGGATATACATAATGTATCCCATTTTATAATGTAATGTATATCAATGCTCTTACCTGATAATTTAACAGTTCATACAAATGGTCAATAGTTGCGCAAAATCACTCAACTAGAGTATTGCATCAATTCTTATTTCGTGCCTTTTTTGTGTGTGTGTTTGCCTCACTTCTCGTAGTTGTGTATTTGGCTGATTGTACACCTCCATGATGAATCAACATACTACCTTCAATGTCATAAAGGGCTGTGATGCATCAAGTGAATGTACGCGCTGTTAGCTACCCAAGACACACTCGTGACCCATCTCTCGTCTCGCTCATTCCGCCACTAGGCAACACACTCCGTGGCTGTCGCCAACACCTCACCACACGGGTCTTTGCTGTCAACTCCCCGCGCGATCCGTTCCAGCTTCGGCGAAATACCTCGCTTTCACTCTTTTTCGCAAACCTAAAGTCCCACCCCATCGCAACCCCAAAGCTTTCTCTCAGAGACACTACAGGCTCCGCGCCGAGCTGGGCGAAACTCGCCATGCCCGTTGCGTCAAATCCAGTTTTGCTTGGCTCCGCTTTTCCAAAACCCAGTTCGCGTCGCTCGCTCGCCACAATCGCCCACTCGGACCATGGGCCACGACGCGTCGCCTTCCGAAATGAGGCGAAACGAAATCGAATTATTTTCTGCAACTCCAATAAAACATTCCCGCCACAGCACCCCCGAGCTAGGCTGGGCGCACAGGTGCCGCCGTCAGCACCACCACACACGCACTGTTTGGAATCCACCGCCCCACGAATTTTCCCCCTCCGCCTGACGGAACACATGCGGAGAGGTTATGCGGGGAAGGGCATAGCGGGGCGCAATATTCTTGAAGTTGGGTCCGCTGCGCGGGTGGCTTTGCAGGTCGCAATCCGGGTGAAATAAAATAGGGTTCCATCCATGGCTTCCAGCAGAATAATTCACAGGAGAGCATCCAGGTGACTCGCCAGGCACCAACCATCACGCAACTCTAATAATTGCGGTAGAAATTACAGCTCGCTATTCACTCGGTCGTCGCATCCTTGACGTCGAACTTCAAGCCATCTCTCCATCCATTCATAAATTTATATCCCCAACCACCGCCACATATTTCTCTTGCACACCAGCTATTGTCTTATCCTTACCAATTACGCCTGTCTCATCTCATCTCCTCCAGCTTCAGTCCTAAGCCAAGCAGCCGTCTTAGGTAGCCACCATGGCTCCTGCCAAACCTTCCACCGTTCGCGCTAGTACTCTCTCATCGCTAGTATCCGTACTGCTCCTCTTCGCCCTACTCCTCGTCGCTCGTCAAGCCTCGGCCGCCAATCTCCCATTAGATGGCTGCCAGTGCGGAAAACTTCGAGGCTTGGAGCGAGCGCGAATCAACGCCGTCAATTTCCGGCGATTCGATCAGATCGGGTCGTTCAACGGCGCCTTCAACAGCCACGGAGGGCGCCTCGTGCCCCACGAGCACGGCTCGGGCTCCGTCAACCTCGAGGTCTACCAGGTCAGTCAAGCTCTCACTGCTGTCTCGCTCGTTACTGTTACGCTCTCGTTCGTAACTGTCCCTTCCAGTCCGTTTCCTTTAACTCCACATGTCGTACGTACTTCTTCATAAGCCGTTTTCGTGTTTAATGTTCTCTTACCATGGCTCATCGCCCGTCGCCCACCGTGGCCACCGTCTCACGTTCCTCTTTCTCGTTCCTCTTCCTCCACCTTTCGCGCTCGAATCCGTCCCTCTCCCCGCCAACAGGAGGTCGGAAACTACGTGGAAGTGGTGCGGGGCCGCCCCGGCAGCACGCTAGAGGGGTGCTGCGCGGCGTGCGCGGCGTCCCCGCTGTGCCTGCAGTACCACTGGTTCCCCAGCGCGCAGCAGCGCCGCAACGCCAACGTGCGCGGGTTCGTGGCCGGCGCGCAGTGCTACCTGCTGGGGGCGGACGGCGGAGCGGGCGTGGCGGGGCACTTCAAGACGCCGTACAGCGGAGAGGCGGAGGAGCAGCGCATCATGGCGCCCTACTTCCCGCAGAGCTGGTACCGCCCGCCCTTCCGCCACCCGCCCTTGAACCGCTCCTCGGACCCTTTTCTCCAATGTCACGTCGTCGCACATCACTGCTTTTTCATTCGTGATTTTGCTCGCGTCTACTCTGCCCCTCTCCGCCCATTCCTAATCCTTCCGCTTCTAACCCTCTGCTTGCCCGCTCTCCTTCCCCCCCTCCCCCTTCTTTTCCATCAACAGGGTGGGCGGCATCTGCAACTCCTCCGCCATCCCCGCCTCCCCCCTCACGCTCCGCCGCCCCACCCAATCCGACCTCGCCACGCTGGACCCCGACAGCCAGCTCAGCAACACCTTCTGCCTACTCAGCGACCGCCGAATCCACGTCAACATCCGCCTGTCCGGCTACGACCCCGACCGCCTGCCCGCCCTCCCCGCCGACCCCCTTTCCGCCTCCGCTTCCACCGCCTCCCTCCGCGGCCAATCGACCCCCACCGCGCGCGCGCATGTCCGCGCGCACGGGTCCGCAGGGCTGCGCGCGTGGATCAAGGAGGTGGGCGTGGTGTGGGTGGGGCACGAGGGGCGCCCGCACACGCTTCGACTCGTCGCGCGCGGGGGGAAGCAGCAGGCGCGCGGGCGCGAGGGCTTCCTAGCGCTGGCGGAGATGGACGGCGTGCAGGTCGCAGTCCCCGCGGAGGTGGGCGCGGCGGCGGAGGGCGCGGGGGGACTGGTAGTGGCGAAGGTGGCGGAAGAGACAGACGGGGGGATGGACGTGGATCAATACGCGGTGATGATTCAGGGGCTGGCGGAGATCAACGTGCGCGCGCGCGTGGCGCACCCGCTGCTGCAGAGCATGGGGGAGGCGGAGGCGCACTTCATAATCGAGTTCATGGACCTGCAGACGACGCCCGCCATCCACGGCGTGTTGGGGCAGACGTTCCGGGAGACGCCCGACGGGCAGCACAGGGATCTCACGTACTCGCACCTGTCTGGGCTGCTGCTGCGCGCGGGGCAAGAGGGCGAGAAGGGAGATGGGTTCCTGGAAGGTTCCGCAGGGGATTATGTGACATCTGCCATCGCCCGACCGGATTGCGCCTTCTCGGCCTTCCCCTCCATCCCCCTCCCTGCCTGACACTCTGCCCTCCCCATGCGCGAGCTATAACACCCCGCGCTGCATGACTCACGACCACGGTTCCCCCATGATCCCTTGCACTGCGTCCCATGTGGTAATGAGGCCCGCCTTGTGTTCAGCGCCAACCAATAAGAGCATGCCACCTGGCCACGTTGGCATTCCCCCCATATACGCCGTGCAGCTGTGTGCTGCACACCCCGTGTGGCTCCGGGCGTTGCAAGGCAGCCGGGGGCGCCAATAAAGAAGACAATAAGCTGAGCAGCAGCAGTGGCAGCGGCATGTCACTGTAGCAGTCACTTTGAAAAGCTGTTTATATGCAAGCATGTATGCTAGTGCCTTTTGGAATCCTGTATTGTAAGGCCCTTGGAAGTAAAATTACTGCGCAAGCGCAATCCAAATCATTGTTGTTCTTTGTTCACAAACCAAGATACTCAGGGTTTAGTGTACAGAAATGCTCCTTGATCCAGACCACCATCCTGCACGCCACAGCCTCTCCCTTTCCCCAGCTTGTCTCACACCAGTAGCTGCTCCCTGTCCTGTCCACCCAGCCCTCCTCTTGACCATCACATCCTCATGCCACGCCACGCCACGTCAACTCACACCAACACCATGCCACGCCACACCACACCGCATCCCACTCCGTCATGGGTCAGGGTGAGTGAGCTTGGGCAGTAGGGTGAGTCCCTGGGGGTGGTCGGGGCAGCGGCGCAGGAAGGGCAGCCAGCGTGCCGGGTCGGTGGAGCGGTGCCCTCGCTCCCTCACCCCGGCCGACCCGTCCCCACGCGGGTATGATGAGCATATGAGGGACAGTGGCGCCCCCAGGTGACACCCCTCTGTTGACCAACTGCGCGTGCACCCGCCCTGCCCCACCCCTCCTGTTGCTGCTGCGGCTGCCACTACTGCTGCTGCTGCTGGGTCGCCGTTGTGACTCTCGGTGGTGGCGGTGGTGGGAAGAGGGGGTGAGAGCAGGAAGGGAGGGCGGCCGGCAAGGCCGCTGGCTAGATAGCCCTCTGCTGATGCCGGGCTGTGGGGGGAAAGGGGGGAGAGTGGAGAGAGATGGGTGGGGCAGAGGAGAATGGAGAGAAGAGAGTGGGAGAAGGAGAATGGGGGACCGAGCACCGTATTTGGCAGACTGCATGTGGGATGCGCAAGGATGCAGAAGCGCAATGCACGGAGGACTGAGAAGGGGGAGGGAGAGAAAACACCCATTCTGACCTGGCAATGATGACCTGGCACGTGCTGAGCAGCCAGATTCGCAGCATCTCCATCTGATTGGCCGACAGCAGGCGCTCCTCCGAGTCATCCTCCACCTCAGCATGCACCGCCACCACACTGCCATGGCAGCCCAGAGGGGGGATCAGAGATCATGCCATGCATGGGTGGGGATGGAATGAGCAAGGAGAGGAGAGGCAGAGAAGCGAAGGGAGGCAGAGATGGGAGGGCAGCATTGGTGCTGCACCTTTTCCGCCGTCCATCGCTCCCACCTAACCCACACATGCGGCAAACCACACACCAACGAACCACAAGGGCCCCATGCCTCTCTCTTGTGCACCTCTCTACGCCATGACTCTCATGCCGCTCACCTGTGCATTGGTGCTGCACCTAATCCGCCCTCCATTGCTCCCACCTACCCCACACATGCGGTCGCCCGGGAAACCACACACCAAGCAACCACAAGGGCCCCATGCCTCTCACTTGTGCACCTCTCTATGCCATGCCTCTCACTTATGCACCTCTCTACGCCATGCCGCTCATGCCTCTCACCTGTGGTCCTCAGTGGGCCACTGCGCGCTCACCTGTGGTCCTCAGTGGGCCACTGCGCGCTCACCTGTGGTCCTCAGTGGGCCACTGCGCGTAGGCGCGTTTGAAGAACTTGAACGCCGCGAAGCTGTCCGCCGCCACAAACACTGCCACCACCCGCGCCCTCGCCCTCCCCCTCACCACCCCGCCGCTGCTGCTGCTCCTGGTTTCGCCCTCACTGTCACCACCAGCGCCAGCAGCATCATGAGAGATCGAGCTTGCTTCCCCGCTCTGTACTCTTGTCTGCCCGCCTGCACCCACGCCAGCTCCCCCCTTCCCCTCTTTCTTGTGTGATGCCGCCCTTGCCTCCTCGCCCCGTCGCGGGCGAGAGAATAGCCCAAACCGTCGCCGCTGAGGACTGCTCCCCCCGCTCCTGCCCACCCTTCCACTCGCCCCTTCCCCCTTCCCCTCCCCCTTGGCTTCCCCCTGCCCATCCCCCTGCCCTCCCCCTTCGCCGCCCTCCTTCCCCTCCTCTCCGGCCCCATCCAGCAGGGAGCGGGAGGAGAGGGAGAGGTGGCGAGCGCGGGAGGAGTGGTTGAGGAAAGCGGCCAGCTGCGAGGGCGCCAGGGGCAGCGGTAGCACGCCGTGTGACATGCCACACTCCAGGGCTTGCTGGGGGGAAGTTGGGAGGTGGGGTGAAAGGGGGGTGATGACAAGAGGGTGAGGTGAGGGAGACGAGTGGGATGGCATGCATGAGATGAGATGGTGCCAGGCGTGCTGCTTCCACAGCAATGGGAGTTGCAAAGAAACCGAAGCATCCCCCTCACACCCATGCCTCTCGTTTCCCCCCCACCCTCATCCCTCCCCTTCCCCCCAACACACCTCCCTCATCGCCTCTTTCACCGCCACGCTCCCCCCAGCCGCCAGCTGCACGCCCACAGAGCGCCACGCGTGCGCCAGGTGGCCCTGGTGCGCCCTGAGCGCCCTCTCCCACACGGCATTGGCAGGCAGCAGCAGGTAGCGTGCTAGTGGGTGCAGCAGCACGCACCCCCTGGCATCCTCCCTCCCCCCCCCACACCCTCATTCCTTCCCCCCCATACCCACCTCTCTTATCGCCTCCCTCGCTGCCACGCTCCCCCCACTTGCAAGCTGCACGCCCACGGACCGCCACGCGTGCGCGAGGTGCCCCTGGTCCGCCCTGAGCGCGCGCTCCCACACGGCGTTGGCGGGCAGCAGCAGGTAGCGCGCGAGCGGGTGCAGCAGCACGCGGGAGGGGAAGAGGCGGTGCAGCGGGCGGTGGAAGGCGGGCAGCAGGAAGAGCGAGGGCAGCAGGTGCTGGTCGGAGAGCATGGCGAGCCACGTGGCGTTGCGGGCCAGCTGGGTCTGCATGGAGGAGCAGAAGAACTGCTCGTCCCATGGGTAGCGCTGTGCCTGGGGTGTGGGGGGGATGGGGTGGGTGAATGGGGTGGACGGGGAGGCAAGGAACGGGAAGGGATTGGAAGGGAATGAGTGGGCAGCAGGTGCTGGTCGGAGAGCATGGCGAGCCATGTGGCGTTGCGGGCCAGCTGGGCCTGCATGGAGGAGCAGAAGAACTGCTCGTCCCATGGGTAGCGCTGTGCCTGGGTGGTGGATGGGGAGGGTGATTGGGTTTGACGGGGAGGGGAGGGAAGGCAAGCAAAGGGCTACACGTGAGGAGCAGAAGAACTGCTCGTCCCACGGGTAGCGCTGTGCCTGGGTGGTGGATGGGGAGGGTGATTGGGTTTGACGGGGAGGGGAGGGAAGGCAAGCAAAGGGCTACACGTGAGGAGCAGAAGAACTGCTCGTCCCATGGGTAGCGCTGTGCCTGGGTGGTGGATGGGGAGGGTGATTGGGTTTGACGGGGAGGGGAGGGAAGGCAAGCAAAGGGCTACACGTGAGGAGCAGAAGAACTGCTCGTCCCATGGGTAGCGCTGTGCCTGGGTGGTGGGGATGGGGTGGGGAAGGGGGTGTGAATGGATTGGAAGGGAAGGGGAGGGACAGTAAGGCAAGAGGCAGCAGGTGGGAAGGCAGGGAGGGCCAGCTGGGCTTGCAGCAGAAGAACTGCTCGTCCCATGGGTAGCGCTGTGCCTGGTGGGGGGGTGCGGTGGGTGAATGGGGTGGACGGGGAGGGAAGGAAAGAGAAGGGAATGGAAGGGAGTGAGTGGGCAGCAGGTGCTGGTCGGAGAGCATGGCGAGCCACGTGGCGTTGCGGGCCAGCTGGGTCTGCATGGAGGAGCAGAAGAACTGCTCGTCCCATGGGTAGCGCTGTGCCTGGGTGGTGGGGAAGGTGGGTGCTTGGGGTGGAAGGGAGGGGGAGGGACAGCAGGTGGGACAGCGGGGAGGGCGAGGTGGGTGTGCATGGAGGGCGAGGTGGGTGTGCATGGAGGGCGAGGTGGGTGTGCACGGAGGAAGAGGTGGGTGTGCATGGAGGAAGAGGTGGGTGTGCATGGAGTAAGAGGTGGGTGTGCATGGAGGAAGAGGTGGGTGTGCATGGAGGAAGAGGTGGGTGTGCATGGAGGAAGAGGTGGGTGTGCATGGAGGAAGAGGTGGGTGTGCATGGAGTAAGAGGTGGGTGTGCATGGAGGAAGAGGTGGGTGTGCATGGAGGAAGAGACGAATTGCTCGTCCCACGGGTAGCGCTGCTCCTGCCGTGGGGACGCGGTGGGTGGACGGGTGGGACAGGGAGGAGAGGGACGGGAAGTTGGGAAGACGAGGATGGGGAAGGGAAGAACGGGGTGGCAAGTGAGGAGGTGGGGAGACGAGGGGAGACGAGGGGTCACGCTTGCAGGCAAGTCCTGTGCTGCATGCGCGATGGTACCCACGTGGGAACAGCAGGTAGGTGTGCATGTGAATGTGCATGGGCATGGGCACGGCAGCAGCCTCACTCACCTCAAAGTAGATGGTCGCCACGTCCCTGCGGTTGAGTGGCTGGTGGGGGCACGACCGGATGGGGAAGGGGTGGGAAGAAGGGACAAAGACAAGAGGAATACGTTGAAGAGGGGAAGGAGGGAGAGGGAGAGGAAAGTGCATGTGAAAAGACGACAGCAGCAGACAGCCTCACCCTCTCTCCCGTCCCGTTTCCCTCACTCATTCCTGCTTCATTCCTCCCTCTCCTCTCCCCTCTCTCTCCCGTTCACCCACCCACCTCTCTCATGCCCTCACTCGCATCTCTCTACCCTCCGTCCCTCGCGCTCACACCGACTCACAGCGAAGAAGCTGTTGCTGGTGCTGCCGTTGACCCACTCGCCCTGGTGCGGCGGGTGCAGGCGGAAATGCTCTGGCAGGCCCGCGGGCAGCCACCAGGAGGAGCGCGGGAAGGGGTTGCACAGCAGACTGGCGGGAAGGGGGGGAGGGGAGGGGAGATGAAAAGAGGGAGAGACGCGGGAGGGATGTGGCAGAGTGAATGAGGCAGAGCGGGCAGCCACCAGGAGGAGCGCGGGAAGGGACTGATAGGTAGCTAAGCCACTGTGGGCAGCCATCGAGTGGGAGCAGGTGATGCAGAAGTTTCCGACAGTCCCACCTATCAGTCCCACCTATCAGTCCCACCTATCAGTCCCACCTATCAGTCCCACCTATCAGTCCCACCTATCAGTCCCACCTATCAGTCCCACCTATCAGTCCCACCTATCAGTCCCACCTATCAGTCCCACCTATCAGTCCCACCTATCAGTCCCACCTATCAGTCCCACCTATCGGTCCCACCTATCAGTCCCACCTATCAGTCCCACCTATCAGTCCCACCTATCAGTCCCACCTACGGAGAGCAGCGAGAGGGAGTGAAAGCGGAGAGCAGCGAAAGGGAGTGAAAGCGGAGAGCAGCGAGAGGGAGTGAAAGCGGTACGGGCGTCACCTGGGCAGGTCGCCGTGAGTGTCAACTAGCAGGGCGCGGTGGGTGAGCAGCGCATAGAGGAAGGCGGACAGCAGCGACAGCAGGCGCTGCGCCACACTGGGGCGCGTCTGTGGCTCGTACCACACCAGGTAGCTGCGCAAGGGGGGGTAGGTGAGGACGGGGCGAGGCGGGGCGAGGGGGGTTGGAGAGAGTAGGGGGTTGTGAGTGGAGTGAAGAGCTGGTAGGATGAGAGGAGGCTGTAAGGCGCAGCATGTGCGGAAGGAGGAGGTGGGTCGGGGGTACCTGCGCGGTGTGCCAGTGAGGGCGTGAACGGCGGGGAAAGCAAGGGAGGTGGATTGGGGGTGCAACGAAGGGGAGGCTCGTAGCACACCATGGCCGCCCGCTCACCATGGCCGCCCGCTCACCTGCATGTGCTTCGTGGTGCCTCCAGTTTCTCTGCGTGTGCCTCCCAGCTCTGCACGCCCGCCACACACTCCTGTGAACACACACGCACACACACGGGCACGCATGGGGAGAGAGATGCATGCGGCGAGGCGCATGGGGCGAGGAGAGAGCAAGATGGATGGGGGGCAGACGGAGATGAGAAGCGCATGGGAAAGAGAGTCGATGGGTGTGCATGCATGAATGGCAGCATACCACGATAACCATCCCTCTCTTCCCCCCTCTACCACTCCACCAGCACCCCTCCCCTCCCCTTCCCAAACCCCCCTCACCTCGTGCATGCGCTCGTAGGCGCGGAGAGAAGCGAGCAGCGCAGGGATCCATCCCCCTTGTCCCCCACACTTCCCCCCCCAACCCCACCACCACCCCTCCCTCACCCTCCCTCCTCTCCCCCTCACCTCGTGCATGCGCTCGTAGGCGCGGAGAGCGGAGAGCAGCGCGGGGGAGGGCGAGTGGGGCGAGGGCGGGAGGAGCAGCGGGCGCTCGTGCAGCGCCCAGCACGACTGCCCCTCCTCCGCGCCCTCCAGGCGCGCCAAGTCCTCCTGCGAGTGCAGCAGCAGGTCAGAGTGCACCGCTGCTGCTGTGCTGCCTGACACCGCCCGGGGCGAGGGGTCACCTTCGGCCTGGTGTGAGCGTGGGGGAACGGGGAATGGGGGGCATGGGGAGAATGGGGGTTATGGAGGAGCCAGGCGGGCCAGGTCGGCCTGGGCGTGCAGCAGTAAGTCAGAGTGCACCGCTGCTGCTCCTGATGCCGCCCTGGGCGAGGGTTCTCCTGCCGCCTGCTGTGTGGGGAGTGGGGGTTGGGATGGGGAGGGTGGAGGGGTAGAAGGGAGGGGAGAGAGCAAGGGATGGGGTTGCGGGTGTTGGAGAGTCGTGGCTGGGCGGGTGCTGCTGGGGCGGAAGAGCCAGGCAGGTAGGGAGTGGCCCTGGTTGGCATGAGTGAGTGAGTGAGTGAGTGGGTGACCGAGTGAGTGAGTGTGTGACCGAGTGAGTGAGTGGGTGAGTGACCGAGTGAGTGAGTGAGTGAGTGAGTGACCGAGTGAGTGACCGAGTGAGTGAGTGAGTGAGTGACTGAGTGAGTAAGTGACCGAGTGAGTGGGTGAGTGAGTGAGTGAGTGAGTGACCGACTGCGAGAGTGTGGCGGCAGCATGGGAGGGATGGCAGCAGTGTGGTGCAAGCAGGGGCAGCAGCAAGGCACGAGTGGGCAGCAGCACACGCAGGTGGCCCACCTTGCGAGTGGAGGGCAGGGACGGGCTAGCAAGCAGCAGCAGCAGCAGCAGCCCCAGAAGCACACAGCCGCCCACCGCACCCAACCCCACCATCGCCACCTGCCTTCTCCGTGCACCCCTCCCCTCCCTCCCCTCCCTGCCCTCTCTCCCCTCTCTCCCCTCTCTCCCATCCCTCTCTTCCCTGCCGTCTCTCTGCTCCCTGCCTTCTCTGCCGTCCCTCGCCCAGTCCCTCACCCACTCTGCCTCGAGCCACCACCGCCACACCTGCTCCGCTGCTCCCACCGCCAACCCCACCACCCCCCTCCGCCTCCTCTTATGCGCCTCCCCGTACCCATCCCCATACTGTTCGCCCCCCAGCCCCCCTGCCCCGCCCACCCCATACCATGCCCCAATTCCACCTACACCCCCTGCCCCCCCTCTCCCCCCTCCTCCCACTGCGCGCCTCTGCGCCATCACTCCCCCCAGCAGCCCCCCCGCGTCCACTCTCTGTCCTCCCACCACCAACTCCCCCGCCCCACCTGCCCCCCCCACCGCCAGTGCTGCTGGTGGGGGGGCAGCGGAGGGCGCAGCCCCCCCTGCCGCCCCTGCTGCTGCCAGGACCCGCTCCCGCCACAGCTGCTCCGCCCCTCCCCGCGCCATGCCCCCCTCCCTGCCCGCCCTGCCCGCCCCTCTCGCTGCTGCGCCTGCCAGGAGCTCTGCGGACGGGGGGGAGAAGGGGCTGCGCGCAGGGGGAAAGGGGGAAGCACTGGCGGAGGGAGAGGAGCTGTAATGCGCAATAGGGAGGTCGTATGTGGGGGAGGGGGAGAGGGGCAGGGCAGGGTGCGGGCAAGAAGGGGAGGAGAGCGGGACGAAGTGAGTGCGGGGGGAGAGGGGGGATGGGGTGGATGATGGGTGGAGGGCTGTGGGATTAGAGGAGGAGGAAGTGCGGGAGAAGGCGTGGTGAGTGGGGGCAGGTGGAGCAGTGGCAGCGGTTGCTGCTGGTGCTGCTGCTGGTGCGGGAGCAGCAGAGAGAGTGGTGGGGGCAGGGGATGTTGGGGCGGGGGTGGCAGGGGAAGGGGAGGCGAGGGATGACGTGTGGGCGTGGAGGGGCGGGGCGGAGGCATGCGCAGCAAGGGAGGCGGAGGGCGGGGAGGGCGGGCGGAGAGGAGCAGGGGGAGCAGGGGGAGCAGTGGGAGCCAGAGTACCAGTGGCAGTGGCAGTGGCAGCGGCACCTTCAAGAGCAGCAGCAGCAGGAGGATCAATACGAGCAGCAGCTGTTGCTTTCACCGCGACACTCACATTGCCCTCCTCGCCTTGCCTTCCCCTTCCCTCCCCCCCTGACCCACTGCTACCCTCCACTGACCCGCCTATGTCCACGCGGGACCTCCACACCTTCTCACCCCCTCGCGTCGATTCCCCCCGTTCCGCAAAGCTTCCCTGCCCTTCCCCTCGCCCAGCCCCTTCCCCCGTCCCATCACTCCCTCTCCGCTGCGCGTACGCATCCGCCACCCATTCCCCTACCCCGCCCGCGCCTGTTCCCCCTCCGCCTGGTTCCCCTGCGCCAGGCTTGGTCAGCGCGAAGCGGTAGTTGGCGGAGCCTCCGCGGGCAGGGGGCGGAAGGATTGCGGAGGCGGAAGAAGGGGGGAGAATGACAGAAGCGGAGGAGGGGCCGAAGGCGGAGTGAACGGAGGAGCCGGAAGGGGAGGTGGGCGCGGAGAACCGCTGCGCGAGCGCATGTGCGTTGCGGGTGGGCGCGGAGGGGTGTGCGGGCGAGGGCAGGGAGGAGAGGTGCGAGAGGTCGACGAGGGAATCGAGGGGGTGTCCGCGCGCGCGGTAATAGGTCATGGCGGGCGGGCGCGGGGAGTGGCGCGCGAAGGGGGAACACACGGGCGGAACGAGGCGAACGGTTGAGAGCGGTGACTGAAGCACGCGCACGGGGCTGTTATGGCGGACAAATTCCGTTGCGATGACTCTACTTCCGCGCCAGATGCCACCGAGACGGAGAAACGTTTTGGTCGGCTATTCGCGCTATGAGCCGACTTGCTAAACTGCCAGTGGAAATAAGATGTTCTCCTTCTGATATGTGAAATGTTATACAGAGAAGAATTTCCTTCCAAATACTACAAAAGGCAAGCCCCTTTCAACAGGTTGTGGAAAAGTTGTTCGAGGACCTTGGATAGGATAGGAGGTGCTTTTGGTAGAGTTGGTAGCGGAAGTCTTGTAAGAACTCAGATAAATGACCAAGTTGATTGAAAGATAGAATACAAGGAATATAAATAGTCATAGTCTAGCCATGTACTCCAAGGGGTACATTCCCTTATTATAACTGTTTTACAGGCATTTCTACAGTGACTCTGACTGTTGTACTACCTTCTTGTTACCGAATCGCTGCATGTAACCTGTACGGTTACGCCTGTTGCTATTCCTCGATGGTAAGTCAAGCGTCGGTCTAGATGGTCAACAGTCGCGACAGTTGACTCTTGCGACTGTTGACCTTCCTGCCCTTGATACGGGCTGATCCGATACTGCGAACGTTGCTGCTTCGACAAAGTCGGGTGCGATACTGCTGCACCTACGGGAATGCTAAGTATGATTCCCTTCACACTCCAACACTCCCCTTCATTCCTGGAGGTGCGCCACGTGGCCTTTGCGAGTCACTCTGCACAAGTCCGAGCAGTACTGAAACTTCTGACGTGGCAGTTTCTTCGTGAGGAAATCAGCTGCCATTTCGCCAGTTGGACAGTAGATGAGCTGGATTTTCCCTTTGTCGATTTCGTCCTTCACGAAGAAGTAACGCAGGGCGATGTGTTTCGTGCGGTTGACGAAGCCTGGCTTGTTTGCGATTTTGATCGCGCTCTGGTTGTCGCAGAGTAACTTGAAGGACCTGTTCATCGCCGTCTTCGTTTCCTGCAGAAGCTCCGTGAGGTAGAGTCCTTCGCGAACTGCTGCGCTTGCTGCGATGAATTCTGCTTCTGCTGACGAGAGGGCGATGAGTTCCTGTTTGTTGGAGTTCCAGGAGATGGTTCCTGCAGACTCGAGTTTGAAAATGAAGCCTGTGCGGGACCTCCTGTTGTCTGCGTCCCCAGCGTGGTCAGCATCCACATAGCCGGTAAGTTGTAGTGGCGCTGTTAAGTTGGCCTTGTAGGTGAGGCCGACATCAGGCGTAGAGATGAAGTACTGTAAGGCGCGGCGCAGGTCTGCTAGGTTCTCCCCTTCAGGTCGTCGCAGGTACTGGGCGAGCTGGCTGGCGATGTAGGATAAGTCCGGGCGGCATGTGACGGCGGCGAACAGTAAACATCCGAGCTGCTGCTGATAGAGACAGTGATCAGCCGGTGAGAGCGGAGTAGTGTCGGGCTCGTGGTTAGGCGGAGGAATGCGGAACGGGGTGGTGACGCCGACGGGAGCTATCCCGAACTTCTTAGCAAGGGTCTCGGCGTACTTTGCGGCGGAGAGGTGAATTGTATCCGCGGTCTGAGTGACGTTGAGACCGAGGAACTGAGTGACCTCATGGTCGATCGTGACCTCGGGCTTCTCCTGTATTTCGCGTTCGAAGCGATCGAGTAGGTCTGTGTCGTCTCCGGTGTAGAGGAGATCGTCGACGTAGGCGACGAGCAGGATGAAGTGGCCGCGGGATTCGAGGCGGTACATCCCCTGGTCGTGGGGAAGTTGCTGGAAACCGAGCTCGATGAGGACGCCGTGAAGATGCTGCTGCCACAAGCGTGGTGCCTGCTTGATCCCGTACAGGGACTTTTGAAGGAGACAGATGGCATCCCCTTCTTCTTCGAATGCGTGTGGCTGTTCGACGTAGATGATGGCGTCGGCGATCACGTAGAGGAATGCGTTGGAGACGTCGATTTTGCGGAGTGGGCGCTGTTTCACGGCGGCGATGCAGAGAAGGATGCGCACTGAGGTATGACGACCGACAGGTGCGAATGTCTGGTTGTAGTTCACAAACTGTGTCTGCTCGAATCCGCGAACCACCCAGCGCGCCTTGATTTTTTCGACCGTTCCGTCCGCGAGAGTCTTGATGCGGAAAACCCATTTCCCTGTAAGAATTTTCTCCCCTTTGCGTGGCGGCGTGGTACCAGCTTCCAGGTGCCGCGGCGTTGGAGTGCAGCGACTTCCGCGGCCATGGCGGCTCTCCACTTCTCGGCATCGGGCCCGTTGAGAGCCCGGCGAACGGTGGTGGGCTCGACCAGCTGCTGGTTACCCCGTACGGCGACAGCGAGACCGAGGATGCGAAGGCCTGTGAGGTTGGTTTCGGCTGTGGTGGTAACTTCGACCATGTCGTCGTCGTCGCCAGGGATGTCGCGAAAGGTGTCGCGGGAGGAGTCGTGAGTTGAATCCTCGTTCATGGGTGAGTGCATTTCTGCGCTTGTATAATAGTGCTGTGCCTGTACTGCTTCATAAGGATCGATGTTTGTTGGGAAGTATGCGGGAGTGCCGAACTGCTCCGTAACGGGGATGAAGGGTGCCTCGTCTGCCACGTCTGCTGCTCGCTCGTCCGGTTGTTCTCCCGCCACGTCAACGTCGTCCTCGTCATTGGCGAAGCTGTGCTGTCCTTGGAAAATGTTGTCTGGTGCATTCTGTGCAGTGCGGTGCTGGCGGTACAGTGGCTGAGTCAGTCTTTCGTAGAAGATGTAGTCACGTGAACGCGTGAGATGGTGGGTGGCGAAGTCCAGGATTGTCCAGGCGTGGTATTCGGATTCGATTCCGAGGTGAATGCCCCAGCGAGCACGATCTTCAAATTTTCCGGTTTGGGCAGTGTGAGGGCGGTACTGTACCATGCACCCGAAGACTCGCAGCATGCGTGTGTCAGGGTGTTTTCCAGTCCATTCCTTGAAGGGTGAACTGTTGTTGGGTAGTGCCTTCGAGGAGAGCATGTTGTGCAGCCGAACTGCATGTGCCATTGCGAAGGGTACTTGGTTGGCACAGCCGACTGCTTCATGAGGGCTCGCATTTTTGTCGCGAGGCTCCTGTTGGTCCTCTCGGCCAATCCCTGCTGTTCGTGGGCGTAGGGCAGGGAGATCATCCTCTTGATTCCCTTCTGCTTGCATAGGGTTTTGAAGTCATCCGACATGTACTCCAGAGCTCCGTCTGTCTGGAACGCCTTCAGTTTGTACCCGTCGCTTTGATTTTCTGCCATGGCGAGCCAGACTTCGAAGCAGTAGTAGGCGAGGTAGCAGTCCTTGACGTTCACGGCCCAGACAAAGCGTGTGCCGGCGTCGATGAAGGTAAGGGTGTACTGCTCCCCTCCGACCCCTTTCGCCGTGAGCACTAGGAAGTCGCTATAAACTTTCTCCAGCGGTTTGTATTGTTCGGCTCCAGGAATCTTTTCAGCAAAGGGTGTGTGCCGGAGCGCGGCTGCCGGGCAGACGGTGCAGGTAGGTAGGCCAGTTCGTGGTTTCAGCAGCTTTCCATCGGGCAGCAACAGTGCGTCTGCCGCAAAAACATTTGCGTTGATGCAGTTGTTGAGCACTTCGAATGATGGGTGTCCCATGCGTTGATGCGAGATGTCTCCGTCTGCCCGATATCCCTTAGTGCGCGCGTACAGCTCCTTCTCTCGTGCTAATATCTCCTCCGCTGTTTCTTGCCTTGTTTCGTCCGCAGGTTCGTCGGGCACGGTGACTTGAACTGCCGCTGCTTGAATTGTCACGCCATGATACGTTCCGCCGGTGTCGCCGACGGTGACAGTGTCCATCGTCACCGGTAGCTCCAGTGGCTTTTCTGGACGCGGGGGCGAGGTTCGTGCGTGGCGATCTTCGGGTTGCGCAATTTCTTCCTCCTCAAGTAAGGTATCGCCGATCGCCACTCCCCTTGTCTCAAGGCGAAGATAGTCTCTGCTGTCCGTCGTGATGGGAAGCAGGTGAGGACCGTACTCCTTCAGTGACTCTTCCTCCTCGGCTTCTGGTGCCTCTTCAGTAATCTCCGGTTCCTCTGCTGCTTCTTCCGCAGGTGCGTCAGCGATGTTGCCCCATCCAGTTTCAGCTGCGATGGCCTCGCCCAGCGTGGTATTCTCTATGACCCAACGCATGTCGACTGCGTCCCAGCCTTCGGTTGTGTTCCAGCCGGTGGGACGTTCGACAGGCGGCCAGAAGGTTTGCGTGCTTGTCGGTTCAGCTGTTTCGACTGCCGTTTCTGATGTGATCTCCTCTCCTTCTTCCACTGCTTGCGGTCCGGTTTCTGCAGGGTTTGTTGTTGAGGCGACGGGCACGGCGAGAGCTGTTACGATAAGAATGAATTGATAGAAAATGTGAAGTACAACCCTAGATATAGCAAACCCTAATCATGCAAGTAAGTAGAAATGTAACACCTAGACTAACCTAAACAACACATATAAAATATATGTTGACACACCCCCATAGTCTAGGTGACGGAAGTCCTGTAGAAACAACAAGAGCAAGCAACGGTCACAAGACCAGTCTACAAGAACAAGACAAATCTCAGGGTGGAGCTCAAAGTCACCACACACTCCGAGAGCAAGCAAGGGGCCACAAGGCCAGTCCACATGCAGGTATATAGCAAATATAAAGAGATGCAAGAGTACAAGACATGCAGAACAAGGCATCTCTAAGCAAGCAAGTGAGGACGGGCAGGCACAAGGCCAAGCTGGGTGCAGAAACGCTGGTGGTCACAAGGCGGCAACGCCTTGGTGAAGATATCTGCCGTGTTTGCCTCAGAGACCACACGTCGAACGAGTGCCTGTCCACGCTGCTGCAACTCACGCAGAAGGAAGTAACGAAGCTGGATGTGCTTCGCCTTCCCAACCAGTCGGGGCTCCTCACACAACAGGACAGCAGACCTGTTGTCGGCGAACAAGACTGGGGGAGAGCGAGGCCGCTCAC